TCCCTCTCACCCCATTTTTAATCCCTATATCCTGTGATTTCTCAGAGAATAAAGAACTAATGTAGCACATTGATTATCACGTTTAAGAAAATGTATACTAAGCAGATTTTTCTGAATGTTTTCCCCCACTGTCTCTTATGTAGATAAAACATGATATACTCCTCATCTGGAATTCATCACCATGCTTATTTACTTAGTTTTCTTACCAAGATTCCATCATCCCCTGTGTGAATCCTGTAAAACTAAAGGATAATGATTTCTCCAAGGTTTTAAAGGGTTTTAGGAGGAAACAGACCAGCTTAAAAAGTATGGTTTGGAACGTGACTTCCTAAATACTTTAGACTGGGACCTATTACATAAAGAAGTATGAAATTCTTAATGTGAGAATACAATGTACTGTAATTTCTAAGTTTGTTTACTGCATTTTGTATATTAAGAAACCTTTATGATGGCACTCTTGAGGTTAAGGTTAGTAAAAGTTCCTGCCTTTATTTTTATCCTCTCATTTGGCTTAATTCCAGACATTATTTCCTAAGCCAGAATTTGTCTCAGCATCTGGTACAAATTTAGCTAGGAAGCATAGGAGGCTGTTGGGTCTCTTCTCTAGTAAGATTTATTCCTGTAGACACCAAGTGTTTATTCACAAACTTTGGTCTAGTTTGAAACTCAACAATTAGCATAATGTCACAAATGTTTCAAATGAACCAATAAAAGAAATGTCTTCTCTTATAATCCAAGCATCTAATAAAAAATTAATTTCACCTTCCTATGCTGCATTCATTTGAACAGTGCAATTTGCTATATTAATCTCATTTCATCACTTATCCCTCTTGTGAGTATTAGCTCATAATGAGAACATTAAACCTCCATCTAATCTAAACAAACTACCTGGGAAATATTTCAGTTCAATATATTAGGGGCATTGTAATGAATTAGGTTAATATATTAACACTTGGCCTCCAAATACAGGAGTTCAAATCTGATTTAAATTAAAAAAACACCACTAAATTTATTGGAGATTGCAGTATCTGCTTGGAAAAGGCAATGTCTAAAAGTGACATAGTTTCAGAATTAGGAAATGCAGTATATTGAGAGATCTGTAAGACAGCACAGAAAGATTTTTAGTATCTTATTTTGCATCAATTTGCTTTAAGTATAGAGCTACTATTATACTGAAAAAACAAAAATTATTGGTGGTTGCTTATATATATACAGAGTATCACAGATTCTGTCCTCATTGGGTCAAATTCTGATCTCCATGACTAGTATGATTTTGTAGCAAATTCAGGAGCATCAATACTTTTCAAGTAGAATGGTAAAAACCTCTAGCTATTTTATGGATAACAGGAATACATTATCCCACTATAGAAACATGATGACTAGAGGCTTTTTTTCTGAAAACACAGAGTCCAGTTCAAATACTCAGGGCTGGAGTACACACTGCACAGTAACTAGTTCACATGTCTCCCAGTCTAGCTGCAGTGTGCAGGACAAACATACCTGTAAATTCCTTGTTGTGCTTCAAAGTTATCACCCTGTAACTGAAATTGCTAAGATGACCTTTAGAAAATGGTCCTGGACAATCTAGATGTCTGAGATACCCTGGAAACTGTCATTGCACTTAACATAGGCTGCCAAGCTGGAGTGTTCAAGATGGAAGTTTGTTTCATTCTGCTGATTGAAGATTGATTTTTCAATTTGTCTCTACTTTGCCCTAAGAGGTAAAGAAAAAAAAGAAATTTCTGCATTACAGGAACTTTCAGATATACTCACTTATATCAGAACAGAAGAGTGGTAAAATGTCTTGTCTTAACACAAAAGACCAACCTAAGACATTAATTTCTTTCTTCATAGAATCATAGAATTTAAGGGTTGGAATGGACCTTACAGATCATTTAGTCCCAACCCTCTGCCATGGGCAGGAACAGCTCCTCAGTAGATCTTTCTTCATCTTGTCATGCATTCATTTCCTCCTTCTTTATTCATCGTGGGGGAAGCCTTACTCAGAGTATTGCATCTAGTTTGGGGCTCTCCAGTACAAGACATGCACAGACTGGTGAAAGTACAACAAAGGTCCACAAAGATGATGAATCATTTAGTCCCAACCCTCTGCCATGGGCAGGAACAGCTCCTCAGTAGATCTTTCTTCATCTTGTCATGCATTCATTTCCTCCTTCTTTATTCATCGTGGGGGAAGCCTTACTCAGAGTATTGCATCTAGTTTGGGGCTCTCCAGTACAAGACATGCACAGACTGGTGAAAGTACAACAAAGGTCCACAAAGATGATGAATGGACTGGAGCATCTGTCAAGACAGGCTAGCCTTACTCAGAGTATTGCATCTAGTTTGGGGCTCTCCAGTACAAGACATGCACAGACTGGTGAAAGTACAACAAAGGTCCACAAAGATGATGAATGGACTGGAGCATCTGTCCTATGAAGACAGGCTGAGAGAGCTGGGGCTGTTCAGCCTGGAGAAGAGAAGGCCCAGGAAATCTTATCAATGTATATAGATATCTGAAGGGAGGGGCATACAGGAGGGAGACAGGCACTTTCCAGTGGTGCCCAGTGACAGGATTAGAGGCAATGGGCACAAGCTGAAATATAGAAGGTTCCCTCTGAAGATCAAGAAACACTGTTTTACTGTGAGGGTGACTGAGCACTGGCACAGATTGCCCTGAGAGGTTGTGAAGTCTTCCATCCTTGGAGGTGTACAAAAGCCATCTGGACATGGTCCTGGGCAACCAACTCTAGGTGGCCCCCTTGAACAATATGGTTGGACCAGGTAACCTCCAGAGGTTCCTTCCAAACTCTGTGATTCTGTGTTTGGCCAATGGTTCTGCTACTGGTAAAAGAACTAATCCAAGTTTTCTTAAAAGGGACCGAAGCTCTTTCTTCAATATCATTAATGAGGATTTTGCTTGATCTGAACAGGCAGAGAAAGGGTGCATCTGCACTAGCATCTAACTTCCAGTCAGAAGTACACACTGAAGCAGATCTCCCTATTGTCCCCAGTCCGTGGTGTGAACAGTTTTGGTTCACAGCACAGAACAGTCTGAGAGCGGTTGACCTAGATTCCTTTCAGATGAAACTAAAGAGGAACACTACTCTTAATCTTTTCCAATTATTTCAGGAGCTGCTAACTGAGGTATCCGGTTATATATACGAGTTTTAAACCAAAGAAGTGTCACTAGGATGTATGCTCCTAAGTCACTTTAGTGTTTTGAAAGTCCAAATATGGTTTTCATCTCTTTCATCCTTTTTTTTAAGTCCTTACTCTTCTTGCTTTTATTTGTCGATATTCTTTAGCTATCGGCTTTGTCTTTACACATCTAATGAGCTTTTGTCCATTCAGAAACTTTAAATTACAGAATCTGCTGACTTGCAGTTTCCAGCCTGCAGTTTAATGATCCAGATAGAAATCTTAGTTGTACAGTCACAAAGCTCAGTAAAGGGAAAGACATGGACTTGAAGCTAAAGAGCAGTATTTGTGGCCTTTAATGGACTACAGCTCAGTGCTGTGTTCTTCTCCTGCATTTAGTGTGATCCAAGAAACACTGGCCTACTATTCAGCATGTTTTCATTCTGATTCCAGTCATGCTCCTGAATTACTTTTTCAGGAAAGCAGCAACAAATATGTCTCCATTTTCTTATTTGCAGAATGGATATGAAATCTTAAAAGACTTTGACGATTTATAAATGAAGAACATAAAGGTCAATAGTATTATTTCAGTAGATCACAGTGCAGAACATAAGACTTCTCAGCAGCATTTCCCTGATGGAATTGTACTGTTTTACAACATTAAAATGTCTATTTGCTTCTAAGACTCTCCTGAATGGAGGCTGAGAATTGCCACAAGGAATCATAATGCTGGTGCTTTTCTCAGTTGTGCTGAGGACTTCATAGGCCACAATAAGAATTTTCAGTACTTTTCAATATACAGAAATCCAATTTATAGTGCATCTAATAGTGCAGAGATTATTTGGAATATTTTGAATCTGATAAACAAGAGGCAAGCAACAAGGTGTTCTTTGTTTCTAATACCTACTTCTGCATGGAGTACTACATGTAACTTCAGTGAGGTATTATCTGTATTTTGGAAGAATACCTTCTCCAAACAGAATCATGACCCACAGTTTTACAGCATGCATATGGCTCACTCTGAATGGACTAGGCAAAACATCCTGTATTTATAGCAAAGCTTTGAGTGTCCAAGCTTTGACATCCTTCAAAATGCAATAAAGCACATACTACTCTGAATGATGTAATTTTCAGCAAAGATATGGCATATTATTTCCCTCAATCCTCTGTTTAGGGCAAGAACATGACAGCAAAGAGCTTTTTAAAATCCTAATTTCCCATTAGAGGGTGCTTGGGAAGATCAAATCAAAACATTTGGCAGAAATTAGTTTGGTTTGGGCAGAAGACTCTGAGCTTTACCATCAATAATCTGCCTGGTTTCTAGCCAGCTTGCCTGTCTGGCTTCCTCTCATCCTGAGCACTCCAGCAGCCCAGGAAGCAGAAAGGCAGATGATATTTTGGGAATGCCAAAAACTGGGCTCTTGGATCTGAGGAGGCTCAGCATCTCTGAGTCCTGAAGTCTGTGTAATCGGGTAGACAGACTGTTCCCGGATCAGACTGGGAGTCTGTCTAGGGATTCTGGAAGAGTATTCAGGAATTGCAGAACACAATTTTTTATTTCATGGAGACTATTTCTGACACTACCCCTCCATGCTGTGTTTGAAATGCCTCTTTGCCCTTGGATTATTCTGAATCTATTGCTGCTAAAAGGGGGAATACACTTTGGGGTGAAGAAATGCAGAGTAATTATTTTTTACAGTACAGGGATACCCATAGTTACAAGTGTAAGATTTGTCTTCTGCTGTGTGTTCCATATACACCTGGTGGATTTAAAAGGTGAACTTTGCCAATGGCAATTGCTGTGGATTCTTCAGTGTCTTTCTGCCTGCTTAATTGCATCCATTAGTGATAATTAAATGAAAGGCACTTGGTACTTGAAATAACATAATTTTGTAGAAATATATGTGTTCCAGTACTTTGTGTTCGATATCACAGTGCATCAGAGTAATTTTTAAAGGTTTTTTTTAGAACTCATTTATAATCATACATTATTGATAGAATTAAAGAATTTCTGCAGCTGTTCTTACATTTGGTGAGTGTAAAACATAGAGTTTTAAACAATTTTTCTCATATTTTATCAGGTATAAAATATTTCATCTGAAACACCTTAAATGTAAGAACACCAAAAGGACCTGTCTAAGAAAAAAAGAAATCAAGATAAACTAAGCCTATTTATTTTGATATTAAAATCAATTAAGATTCTTACTACCTAAAGAGCAGTATCTTTTTAGCATCTGCCAATACAAATTTTTGGCTCATATACAGATTCCATGACATTTCATTTTATTCAGCTACAATTTCCCACTTAATGGGTACTGAGGTAGCTGCATAAAAATGTGCACATGTTCAAAAGGAAACTCAAGTAACAGAAGAACAAAAGAATGAACTGGTCATCACAAGTTAGTGACATTTTCTGTCCTCAGAGCTGCCTTTTCTAACTTGAAAAACACTGGTGCATAAACTAAAGATGCCTCCAGATAGCTTTCAATTTGCAAAGATCCCTGTTCCATAGATCATATGTCTGGCCAGCTTTGACATGTTTCTGGAGTCATAATTTCATAGGTGAGTGCATCTGAAAAATGTCTTCAGTTCGATATGGTAGGGACAAATAAGCTTTTGTTCCACTGCAGGCATGCGTGTCTTTTCTTTGTTCCTGTTCACAGCACTCTCAATAAGCATATTTATTCTGGCCAGAATCAAGAAAATCTAATATATGTCAAAATGTATGTTAAAATTTCTGTTCCTCTGTAATCTCTTAACTTTACTGTCACCAATATTTGTTTGTCCATAGTATTTTAGATTACATTCTTAAGTACTTGCAAAGCATTTCAGGATCTGTATAATCAACAATTCTCCTACTTGCTGACTATGGGTTTTGAGAGATAAATTGCTAAGATTAGGCAAACAGCATTTTATAGATGCCATTGCAGTACATAGCTGGCTGCAAAGGAACATTTTAGAATTAATAATTTACGTGCCCCAGATATACTAGATTCTCGACTGAACAGAAATAATCATTATCCCCAAAGCCTCCAATCTAAATCTTAGAAAAGAAACAGAAAATTGAGAGTGGTAGAGATAGATCTATTTAAACACCGTGGTTATTTTTTAGTGACCACATTCTATAATGTATATGAGATAAAGGAGATAGAGTTGTGTATTTCTGATTGTTTATTTTGAGCCTTGAGAAAGAGGAGAGTTTTCAAGGAGATTTGAGAAAGTACCAGGAGAATCAGATATTATATACATAGGACAAAAGGAGACCTCTCCTGCAATTACATACCCCCATGCCATATGCTCTCTTTTATATATGATCATCTCCATATGAAAAATTGCACCCACTAGGGACTGTTCCAGAATTTCATCTCTCCAAAATCCAGAACTTCAAATTTCTATCCTAAATGTATTCAAACACTATACCTATTTATTTGTGTGCAAAGACTGCAATTTAGTTTAAATCCTTCCTTGTTTATTGTCTTAGCAGACCACTGAACAGGAATGGCAATCCTGCTGCTTCACCTTGATATTTCTGCTGTTGTATATTTATTATTTCATTTTAAATCTCTGGTAAAGTAGATGTAGGCAAACTTCTTGATATTTGCAAGGGTATGATTTCAAAAGGCTGAAATGCAGGCACAACTTCAGATTGCTTGAAATGAATAGCTTTACTATGCTACCCACTTCATTCTGGGTAGAGATGGAGAAGTCAGTGTGACATGAGCAAGAGAACAGGGACACAGAAAAAAGAATGAAGAAAACTAAGAAAACCCACGGAGAGGTTTTTAATGGTTGTCAAAGTGAATGAGGAACCATTGGGTTTGTTCACTGATGTGGCCACTTTAATCTGTGCTTTTTAAAATTAAGAGTAGTTAAGAATGCAGCAGAATTCTGATTGTGCCAGATGCCTTTGAGCAAAAAGTGTGTGAACCAACAGGAAAAGCTCTTGCATTCGTTGCTGCCATCATGAATCCACTTTTGGGGATAACAGCTAAATGGGAGAGAACTAGTCAAATTGAGGTCAAGAGAACTAGAGAAAAACTGGTCCAACTCAGTGCATATGTAGATAGCAGCCTTTAACATACCATTCACATCTTTCAATGCATGAATCGATGCTGCTGACTCGTGCTCCATCTTTTGTTGTCTGTTGGAGCTCTTTTTGTCAAGAAGACCTTTTCCTCCCATTGCCCAGGTGTACTGTTGCTGTTCATTGGTCTAACAACACAAAAAGTGTTAAGTTGCACAGAGTGGAGTGTGCCCTTCATAAGTGCTCTGATGGAACATTCTGAGCTGACTGATTCTCAGAATCACAGAATGGGTCAGCTTGGAAGGGACCACAAATGGGTCGTCTGGTCCAACCTCCCTACTCAAGCAAGGCCATTCTAGAGCACATGGCTCAGGATTGTGTCCAGACAGATGCTGTGGGACACAGTGTCGAAAGCCTTGCTGAAGTCGAGGTAGACAATGTCCACTGCTCTCCCTTCATCCATCCAGGCTGTTGTTTTGTCACAGAAGGCAATCAGGTTGGTCAAACACGACTTACCTTTAGTGAATCCATGCTGACTACTATTGACTATTATGACTACTATGACTATTCCGCAAGAGAAGTGCAGAATCCAGATGTTATCCTCTCAAAAGCTTTGTGCAGTCATAGCCTGGTAGGGAGCTTACTGACAGAAGAGATGTTTACCCAGGACTGACTGGCAACCCACTTAGCCTTCTGAAGGCATTGCTGCGTGGTTGGTGTGCCCCAACGTCTGCTGCATTGCTGACCTCCTGGATCTGACAGCTTGTTGAAATTCAGAGTGGGCTTCTCAAAACAGAGGCAGTCCAACACTCCTCTATTAATAGCCATGTTGACTTGGACTGGATTTTAGATGGGTAATTATTTAGACCAGCATTTGTCCTTTCACAATCTGTGGTTGCAATGTTTGTTTCTGAGCTCCAAAAATGATGCTGTGTCCTATGCTGGACTATGAACTACCTCAAATCTAATATGAAGCAAATACATAGGTGTAGCTGTACACGTGTCAACAAATGTTTCCTCAGCTTTGGCACTTGAGCCACTGATCCTTTGAGTTGCTGTATAATTCAGACTTCATGGAAAGGCTTATGACAGCTCATTAGCACACAAGTCTGAGTGAGCCAGCATGGCCTGAGCACCTCACTTCTGTTCAGCCAGGAGCTAGTTGTGATTATTGTCAAGCCAACCTCAATGTCACCAATGTGACACAAACATTGCATACTGCTCTTCATTGCTGCCATCATTAGAAAAGGTTTTGGCAGGAGCCAGAGCAACAACCACACACAGCTGAGAGTTTTTATCTCTCCTTTGCCTCTAACCTCAGCTGCCAAAGAACTGTGATGTGCATCGAGGGATAACTTCAAAGGAAGCTTCTCAGTAATCATGTGGGTTTCGCTCTAGCAGTTACCACCTCGGATCTCATACTCTGCTGCTTCTCAGTTCTGTGAGGCACAGGAAGATATACAATATTTAGTTATCCATCCTGTCAGAGCAGTGCAGGTTTGCTCCATCACTTGTGTTCTGGAGACACCTGGTATTCCTATTTCACTTTCACTAGCCAAAAGTTGCTTCTTTTTTTAAAAAACTGTTCATCCATTGAATCTTTCTTTGATTTTTATTTTTACAGTATGTGCTGTAGCAGCAATATTTGTCAAGCAAACACTAATTAGCAGAACCAATGAAGACAAATCTGATCCCAAATGATTGATTTGGAATAATTATAGATGTGTTTGCACAGTAATTGTGAGCATAGTGTTATGGCATGATGAGTTGTTAACATACATGAATCATACTGAAGTTTAATTGTTTAGATTCTTGATAGCTCCACTGTCCCACAGGGAAGATTTTTATAAAAATTTGCTTCTGATCTTTTTACTTTGAAGAATGAGGTATTTTTTAAAGTTCAGACTTCCAGAGTTTTTTCTCCTAGACGTTTTTGTTTTTAAATTGAGTTTTATGGCTGCACAAGAAAATTAAAATGTATAAAATGTCACCAAACATGAAGTTACAAGCACTGAACTTAAAAGCTGAGAAAATACAGCACTCAGACATGCTGTGTTACCGCTGTATGAAATACATTAGTGCTGTACTTCTTTATATATGGGATATATATGTTAAACAATTCTCCAGATTTTGCCTTAAAATTCAACTTAAAATAAGAAATTGAACCTTCCACAAGAGATAAAATATAACTTAAAAATACTCTGAAAAAGTTGTAAATGGTATTTTTTAATGCAAAAATGCAGGTATTATATAACATTATAAGCATGTGATTATATATATGTTATATTTAACAATTCTAACATGAAAAATTCAGCTGTAGGTTTCAAAATTTACCTTACAGCACTGGTAAAAAGAACAATGGAGTCCCTGCAGGAAACCACAGCCCTGGAAGTGCCACTAAAGGTAGGGACAATGCTGAATTTCTGTTGTTGCCTCATATTAATCTAGTGACAAGTATTTTGCCTCTCAATTTTTTCATTTTCAGGTTTGTGGGTATTTGTGGGTAATTGTTTTTTTCAATTACTATAAAAATTTTAAAGGAAAATACCTGAGAGAAAGTCATCCTCCCTCTTGGAGCAATGCAGATTTCAGAATCTCTCATCAATTGCCATGAAACTTTTGTTGGATATCGTAGAGTGTGAAATATGTCCTTTTAATAGGCTTTCCAGATGTGCCAGGCATTTGTTACTGCTGAAAAAATATTGCAAAAAGTCTTTCTTCAGTAATTTTCTCTTAGAAGATGTCTCTGTTTAAATTTCCATGTGGATGCAAAGCATACAAAGCACACAAAATTGTTGGTCACTGTTAAAACTATAGGACACCTACTAGACCGATGCTGTAAAAACTGAGTAGATAGCTACACAGCTATTGTATCTAGCTATCTATTGGACCTAATTGTAATTGTTTTAATAAATAAAAGATGTAGAACAGTACAAGATTACTACCCTTCACCCTAGCCTACTGCAAGGCTTTGTTTGCTTGATAAGAGACTGTGGTTCCTGGGAATCTCCAAACTTCAGTGAGCAATGGTCCAAGGGTTTCCAGTGTCCTGAGGAATAAAGTATTTGGTGTTGCCAGATCACTCATTCAGCAGTTAATACTCAACAAGATTCAGGGACAGAAAAAGCTTTATTCTAATTATTTCAGAAGTGATCGAGACATACACACTTGCACTAAGGGAAACAGCTGAAAAAGAAAACTTATAGATAAGTTCTATCTTGTATTTCTTCCTCCAAATCTTCTTTGTCTATTTCAGCATCTCAACCACTTTGTGAGGCCTTTCTCTGAAGGTCTTAAGGTTACATCTTTATGGGTCCTTCTGGAGACCATCTTTTCCACAAAAATTGAGGGAGAATAATGAGGGATGTCCAAGATCCAAGTTACTCATTCTGCTTCCCATGCTGGACTTCCCCACTCACTGTTCAGCTAACATGAACAATTTGATAGGTTTCTGAGAGAGATAAATGTTTATATCGTTACTGAGAGTGTTCATAGTTACATGGGCAAAATTTAGTGTTATATATTTCAGACTAAGCATTAACTGGCAGAAGGTATTCATGTCCTATGGACAAAATGGGACACACAGTCTTATTCACCTCTGTCTAAGGTGTCTGCTGTCACACACTGACAAATTCATCTTGATGCATTAGCAAATGGATTCAATATGTCATTTCCTATGAGAACAGTAACTCTCTGTTGAACTCCAACTATGTTTTCATAAGTGAAAAGAAACACATTCTTGGACAACAGGGAGTTCTCTGGGGCTTTCAAAGATTAGGATTTTTTAGTAGGCACTAGAAATATTTAGAGATACATGTTTTATTCCACTTGTTTTGGTCTCCTTTTCCTCAGCAAATTGCTGTAGGAGTCCTGACATACTTTTACTCCTACAGCACGTTAGGCTACAGGCATCATGAAGATACTTTTCCTCTGAAGCATCACAAAGAGATCAGTGACAGAGGCCAGATAGAAAACATAACGTACCAACAGTTTGATCTCGTAGAAGATACTGATATTTTAAAAAAAAGTCTGTATCTTTGCTCATGTTGTTTACCCTTCTGTACAGTAAGAACATGTCTTTTAGGATTAGAAATGCTGAAGATGAAAAGATTTTTGTGAAATGCTTCTGCTCTCTTCAGCAGACTTCCTTCACCTAAATATATGTTATGTGCTCTGTTAATATGAATATTACTTTTAATATAGAGACAAAATGTCACTAAAGTAGAGCACACATATAGTCTTAACGGGGAGAGATCTCTTTTTCTTCTTTGAGGTAAAAGATGCTTTATCTTTGAAGTAGCTTTTTTTTTCCCCAAAATATAGTCCTTGCTAATGAGGCAGCTTTCATGTCAGCAAATCTACCGTGCACCAGAGCACCAGGAACTGCAAAACAAACTGAAATTAAACCAAAGCAACAATAAAAATACCCCAGAATTTGAAAAGTGGTTGGTAAAAAAAACCCTAGTGTGTTTATACATTACTGACAAAGTTGCTGATAATAAACATCAAGATCATCATGATGATCATCATGAGATGGAGCTCTTTTGTAAAGCATCGTCATAATAATATACTTGCAATTCAGTAACATGTATTTGCAATTTCAAAACTAAAGGTCAGTCTTAATGGCTATTTTAATAAAAATTGTAGCAATAATTGAGTATTAATAGAAATGTAGAACATTTCATGCTGGATAGGCATGTAATCCAGAGCAGTATCAACATCCAAAGGGAAAAGCAAAAATAGTAATCTTGCTATACGTGATGTGTTTATTTGTTTAAATTTTTATTTTTTTTCATTTTCCTGACAGGTTCCCTTGAAAGTGATTCTCACCACTGGGAAATCATGGGGGTGTATGTCAGAATTGCAGGAGATGTAGAGCAGTCGTTGGGGATGTTATTCAGCACCCGAACACCTCATTGGCCTGTGCTGATTCCTCACTGAATCACTAGGCAACAGCTCTGCTGGATCTTTCATAAGCACCTAATACTCTGCATGTGAATTTTTTTACTTCATTTTGTCTGTAGCCCTAGGCAACAGCAGTGAGATAAAACTGGTTTTTACCAGTTCATTGTGTTTCCTTTAGCCAAGGTAACCAGCAGGGAGCTGCTTTTGTTCAGAGCTAAATTACTACATGTAAGAAATGAAACAAGACAGTATTAACCCTTTGGGAGCATCACAAATATATTTGAGGGAGATGGATGTTTAGACTTTCATGTTAAATATTTTGTGAAGTGCTTGTGTAAAAAGACTTCTAAGCTGGTACTCTTTGAACTGCATCAGCTAAAGCTTAACTGTTGTGTTCAGTTTGTTTTCTGTTTTGTGAATAGAACGCAGCTGCTTGGAGTTCATCACACGTTAGATGTCCTGTTCCCCAGACTTAGAAAAAGAGTTCTTTGAAAATTAACTTAATTTTAATCTAGAATTTTGAGGCAAAACAGCTAAATGAAACTAGAAGCCTAAATGCATGAAAAATAACCAGATTGTTGTCAGTTCAATTCATTTCAAACTCAGTTTGAACTGTCGCCTTAGCTCACTTTAGAGGGAGTATTATAGTTTTGCCTAATTTATTATTTTTGTCGTTGATGTAATGCTAAATATTGTTTAGATGAATTTTAGGATTCAGCCTTATACTTCTTAGAATTCAGGCTTTTACTGTAATGTTTGGATTTTTCATTGATAATTTGGTTTTCTGTAGAGTTTATTCTTTAAATGATATTTGTTTCATAACATTAGTGTTTTAAAAATTCTGTCTCCATTCTTGTGGAATATGAGACTGTCCTCAAAGTCTCCTAACTATTCAGAAGTTGAAGTCATGCACAAAATTTTTAAGAGATGTTGGATGTGTTTCAGCATTAGATATCAAATGATCAAAGAAATACACTTTCAATTTTAGAACTGTATGGTTACAAAGACTTTGCAGCATTTATAATTTGCATAATCAAACAATTTTGCATTGTACTGAAAGGCATTAAACTATTTAACATTGTTTTCTTATGTTGCTTATTAATCATATATAACCTGTCAGCTGAAGTGAGTCAGTAGTTTCCAAAAATTGATTCTTATAAAATTGGCAGTGATCATGTAAGCAAAGTTGGAACCTTCTGTACATTAACTGGGGCTCAGCTCTGTGACTGGGGCATTGCAGCCTGCACAGCTGGGACACTGTGCCAGGTCATGCAAGCAGAGGACCTGATTCCACCCTTCCAGCAGAGAAATATTTTCTTCTGCTTTTTTGCTCTTTTCAAGCCTTCTGTGCTTGCAGTGGCATTGAATGAGTGTGAACCACCCTAGTGTCTCATCTGTTTCACTCCTCTTGAAGACCCCCTGTTTTTGGGAGGCCTGTGCTAGTTAAGTCCTGTTTCTCTAAGGCCACATTCCTAATCTTCCTACTACTATGCGTAGTGTAGTAGGAAGTAATGTGTAGTGTAGTAGGAAGTAATAATTTTTTTTCACATTTCCAGCTGATTTCCACCTTGTGTATTTTTCTTAGGATGCATACTTTTAAACTAGTTAGACAGGGTATTTTTCTAAGTCCTAAACAGCACTGGGTATACACTTCAGCTAATGAAAAACAAAAACATGCTTAAGAACAAAAAGAGCCTCAATCCACTTGTGTGAACTGACATCTGTTCAAACATGAAGCTACAGAAATGTAGAGGTCACCATACAGAACAAATTTTCAAACACAACCTTTCACAAAAGGCTGTCAGTCACAGCTCCCCAGACATGTGCACTTTGTGTAGGTTGTCATACAGCAGGCAAAGTTAATATTTTATTCTCCTTGTGTCACAGTTCCTTCATGGTTTTAAATTTTCAAAGAGACAGCTAACAAAAGGAAGAAGACCAAGCAATAAGGCACCAGTTTCTCACGTGTCCAGGGGCTCATTCTGAGTACACAGGTGTGAGGACAAAAGGCAAACTGGCACAATTTTGGAGAATTGTTGCTGACCAAGATCTCAAGACTTGGTGCAACTTGTGCTCCCACAACTTGCAGGATGAGTACCGTGAACTCAGTATATATTTCCAGGGCTCCAGATTCTCCAGCCAAGGAACTGAGAAACTTTCTCCACTTGAGAAAGAGTAGTGTTTGCAGTTCATTTCCCAACAAGGTCCTCTGGACAAGGCATCAGCTTGACCACACTCGTGTGCTGATCTATGTATAACTGTAAAATCTGTGCAGTGCAGTTTGTCCAAACCCTAGGCAAGCTACCCTGCTGCATGTCTGAATCTAAAGAGCCATTATAGGCAAGCAAGGCCAGGACTGACCACAGATTTCCTCCCAAATAAATACAGATGAAAATATTCAGTGTTTGATGACTGCCAGGAATTCCTTTGGGTGGCACAATAATTTCACACCAGAGAACTCAAGACCCTTATTATAATAACTGACCACCTCTTCAGGTTATTTTGGTTGGTGAAAGGGACTTTAAAACATGGGTAGGCTGGAGCAGGAACAATCATAAGAGCCCTTTTCCAACCTTAAAGTTCTCAATTTGGTCTCCAAAATTATTCCTTTTTTCTCATAACCTATGAATAGGCACTGGGAGTGCAAGAAAAAAACGCTTGTGTTTGAATTGCAGAACCCTAAGAAAGTACTGATCAATGAGAGTGGGAAATCACAGAATCGATGGGGAGAGGGAAATAGCTGGTTGTATTTAGTTTCAGTTACCCTGTGTGAGCAGAAATTTCATTCATTGATTCTCTGAACACAGTAATAATCCCTTTTGAACCTATTTGTGTCTTTGGGTTTAATTTCAGGTGTGTCTTTGGTGACCTGAATCTGTCCTTAGGTCATCTACAAATCTCTTGGTTTGCCATGTGGAGCAATGGGGAAGGAACAGTATTTGAAAATACTTCAATTCAGTGTCTGTGAGTAATGGAACAGCACAGCTATGTGCTGGTGTTTGCATGGGATGACATGACCAATACTTACCTGCTTGCAAATCTTCCACATAGCACTGTTGGACAGCAGGACTTGGATCTTCAATGCTGGCCCAACTTGATAATAACCACAGTTCAAAGACTGGTCTCAGATTTTATGTGAGCAACTCATTTTAAACATGAGGCTGAACATAGTCTTGGTTTTTGAGAACTGGGAGTAGATTAAGAGATTGAATCTGCTAGAGCATCCAGGATATCATTCGTTCATGGTAATGATAGAGAAAAAAACCCTTAAAAGTAAACTCCTTTCATTTTTTGGGAGTCAGCAATACCTGTTCCTCTCATTTCTTGTTTAATCTGATTTAAAAAGGAGGCCAAAGAATGGGTTCAAGGTTGTATTCTAGTTTCCTGATGTTTTCCTTCTATAGTACAAAACATCTTTTCTCACTTCACCATTAGGAGACCAAACTGGACAACAAATCCCTGAGTAACCTGAGTTTGACCTCATAGCTCACCCTACTTTGAGCAGGAGGTTGGGCTAGAGACCTACTGAGGTCCCATCCAACCGGAATTTTGGTCCTATATCATTCTTCAGTTGGACAACAGCAGTCATCTGGCTGGAAGACAGACCAGAAATTCCCTTCAAATATTCTGCTGCACCACATCAAAGTGTGTAGTGCCATACCAGAAGAAGCCCCAGCAATGTTTTGGGATTTCATTCCTCCTTCCCACCTGTGTTGCCTCATTCTGTGCCAGCATTTACTATATTCCCTGGCTCACAGGCTCACTTTTGGCTGGCATACTTCCTTTTGGTATTAGCAGGTTGTCAGAAACATTCGGGGAGTGGAAAGGAATCAGTTCTTCTTTCTGCCATTCTGCAATAGTTTTAGTAGACAGAGTGTCTCGGGTTTAAAACAAGTTTTCATCATGTCTTTGCCTTCCTGGGAAATGTCCCCAGCCTGACTGGCCTCTCTCTATGGGAAGCAACAGCCACCATGGGCTGGTTCTCTAGAGACAACTTTGAAGTGCACTTCTACCATCAGTTTTTGTAAGATCTTTTTGTGTTATCAAGTGTGTCATTACCTACTGTAAGTCCAGGCAATTTGTTATCCTCTCTGCTTGTGTTTTGGATTCTGGAGGTCCAGCTTCAGGCAACATTTACATATTTTCTTGGTGCATTTTTCCATGTCACCTTCTCCATTCAAAACTAATTATTTGGGCAAGTTTTAGTTTCTTTCTTCATCAGCTTTTGCTGCCTACACTGATAATTTAACCCGTTGCCAACCTTTCCTCTGCACTCCATAGATACTCTTATTATTGCTCATAAATCTCTCACTATTAATTGTCCACAAGTTAAAAAAAAGAATTGCATATTTTTCTACCTCTAACCTTTGTGCCATTAGTTTGTTTCCCTCTACCATTTGGCACAATATTTATGCACTTATGTGACTGTTTTCTGGCTAACTATATTTTCACTGTAGTTGTTCATTTTATGATCCATTTTTCCATGCTATCAAAAATCCAGTGTGGAAATTCTCTCATTTTTTTCCCCCCATCATTTTTTTGGCAGCTTCATCTGCCGTGCACACTGAATTTCTCACATCTAATTATTCAAAAGAGTCATGCATCAGATTACAATCCCATTTTCCAATTTGTCTGTTAAGCAGAGAACTGTACTTACAGGCTCCTGAGAATCAACCTCCATCCTTCCCACGAGTGGCTGCTGCCTGCTACACTGCCTTTCTGTACAGATTTGCCTGAGACAAAATTAAATATCTCCCTGGGTTACCTTGGCCTCTTTGCACTGATCCATTAGTCCACATCCAGCTGAGTCCAGAAATTAGTTAATTGCTGATTTATCCTAAATGTCTTACTGGTATCTGGTTAGGTGAAGAAGACACGTGTCCTCAGGACTTCTGCCAGAAATTGTTTTTCCTTCTCTTTTAAACTCTAAGCTATGACCCAGAGCTGGCTCAGGCTGATGATTGACTCCAA